CCCCCCCCCCCCCTCCACTCAAGCCGAACAGCGCGGTTTCAACGTTGAAGTGCGGTAGAACTAGAGCTGTGTTAATCCTTTGTGGAACATATTTTTTTAGATTAGCTGATATCGTCGAAGTTGTTAACAGTGCCCCAAAACCACTGACTCATGAAGAGCAAGCATCCATTCAGGTAATACCGATTTTTGTTAACCTATTTAATTTATTTTCAATTCACACATTTCCAGGCAAGGACAGATGATTGGTCGGCGTTGAATACTGCTCTGGAGGAACGTCGTCAATCTCGACCAGGTTACGTAAAAAGAGAAGAACCGGTGGATTCAGATGACGATTAGCAACCCAAACCACCTTAAATCTCCAAATATTCGGGTCGCGTATGTTCATATCTTCTATAAATAAAATTTGTTTAATCCGAAAGAGCTCGTTGATACTCTTTCTCGCTGTTGGACACAGTATTCCCTCACTGAAAGAATTTTATTGCGATTTGACAGAGAAAATGCCCAAGTTATTTTTACATTACAACTTTTTTCCAACGTAACAATCACAGCGATCACATCGCGAGATGGGATTGGTTCTTACCGAACCGAGCTTATAAATAAATTATCTAAATGCTTCCGAGAAAAGATCTACATGAAGACATATGACTAGGTAGGTTCCTCATTTCTTTTTCTTCTTTTCGATGGTCGATGTCTAAAGTGACGTGATTGGGTAACTATATCATATGCTGAACATGAAAAATAAACATCAATACTAACCTGCACAGAACCAAGCGCAATCTTTTTCTTGTCTTCTTCGCTGATTCCTTCCACTGTCTCTGGACCACCTGTTAGTCGATTTCGCAACAGCTTTTGTCGCATGAACTGAAAAGAAGCATTCTTTACAACAGGGTTCAAAGATCTCCAAACTTGAACCAATCTTTAAAGACGTCCCGCGAACTCATATACTCGAGATCCCTGAGATTGGGAGCGTCGTTTCAGGACGGGCGTGGAGCGCTTTTTGAAAACGGTTTTTCGCATGATGTGGGGTCACGTGCATGGAGTACCAAACTGGTGTTCATTTTTCCTGAACGCCTCTGGGAATGCCAAAAATGGAGTGAAAAAAAAGTCCATGGAAACCGACTGTTATTGAGCCTGAATGGGCTCTAAATCACTCGCAAGTTCGGCCAGTTGCTGCCTATAGGGTCCTTATAAAGGTTGTACTGGTATCTATGAGAAAAGTGGTCGTCAATGGGGTCTTACTTGTGGCACGTAGTTAAGAGTCGACGGCCAATTCGAATGGGCTCTTAAGCAATCGAAGTGGTGCCTGTGCCAACGATCGGATGGGCCTAGTGGAGATAGCGTGGAGGATTCTCAAGCAGACAGTGGGGATGGGGATGATGGTTCGACTCCCCTCGGCTTGCACGTTTTTGCATTTTTTATTTTCCGTTGTTGTCGCTTCCATATACGTCTGTTAATGAATTTTACTCGGATATCTGCCATTTATAGGCACATCCTAAATAGTTATAGCCCGTAGTCGGTGCTATTCAGCAATTTCGATTTCACATACCATTAAGCAAGAACTTGTCTGAAAGCTGAGCTTATGTTATTCGATGCCCTGATCATGACTATGGCATTTACTTTCAGCTCTAGTGCCATTTATCTCCAATTTGGAGCCAAGTCTTTCTCCCACTGGAGTCGCTATGTACATTCGTTTGAGGGACTTGCAGGGCCATTCTGACGCCAGATTGGATTGACGTCAAGAATAAGTGTCAGAATCGTGATCAGGACCATCGATTACCCCTATAGGCAAACTTTCAGCCAAAAATTTTTTTTGACTTTTTTGAGTCTGTGCATTGGGTTATGCTCAAGAGTCACTTTGTTGAAGTCGTACTTTTGCTGGTTATCGAAACCCTCATTCAGTGGTACGGAAACAAAAAACTAGCAACAACCATAAACGCCATCGAAAAAAAGAACAAAATAGTCATCATTCCTCCAGGTGCATTTGAAAAAATGAAGAAATCGGATGAGTCTCTCCTTGGTAGGTAGGGGAGGACGACATCTTCGTTGAGCGAGCCGTCGCGGGGGTCGACAAATGTCCAGGATGGTTTTTCACTTGTTCTGCGGCCACCCATGCCCATGCCAAGTATGAATGGACCTTATGAGCACCAAATCCGCGATGCGGCTGCCCGGCGGCCCACCACGTCATCGCTACGTCATCGCAGCTCCAAAGTTGTGGGTCTCCGGTCATCACCGACGACCAAATGGTCGGTCTATCACAACTCAAAAAAAGTCAAAAAATTTTTTGGCCGAAAGTTTGCCTATAGGGGTAATCGATGGTCCTGATCACGATTCTGACACTTATTCTTGACATCAACCCAATCTGGCGTCAGAATGGCCCTGCAAGTCCCTCAAACGAATGTACATAGCGACTCCAGTGGGAGAAAGACTTGGCTCCAAATTGGGGACTACGTGCCACAAGTAGGACCCCATTGGCGACTACTTTTCTCATCGATACCAGTACCTTTATAAGGACCCTATAGGCAGCAACTGGCCGAAGTTGCGAGTGATTTAGAGCCCATTCAGGCTCAAAAACAGTCGGTTTCCATGGACTTCTTTTTCACTCCATTTTTGGCATTCCCAGAGGCGTTCAGGAAAAATGAACACCAGTTTGGTACTCCATGCACGTGACCCCACATCATGCAAAAAACCGTTTTCAAAAAGCGCTCCACGTCCTGACGCCCGCCCTCCCTAGTGAAGATCGGGTAGGCGGGGCTGAATTTTTTCAACTCGACCATTGAAGGTGTTTAATGCACGACCTGAAGGTGTTTATGCTTCTGGTGGAATATTTCCATCTTGACACAACTGTTGTCGTGTCTCTGTCCAACACAGAACAAGATGACAGTTGTCCCAGATTGGAATATTCCACGAGTAACCAGTTCCGTGCCATGTTCAAATGCCACGCCTACTCTGGCTCAGGGATAAGGAGTGTACAGGCTGTTGCTTTCATTAATAGCACAGGATCGCTTTCAATTGAATCTCGGGCATCAGCGGACGTAATAATTCAGAAATGTTAACAAATCTCGGGAGGCTGAAGAAACATTCTGAATCTATTATGTGCTTTCTTAGTTGGCGCACCCCTCTGCGCCGCAAAGGAAGGAGCGACACAATGACTATGAGCCCCCACCCCATCAGATAATTGCGGAATGTGATTTAAATGCACTGCCCACAATCAGCTGACATCTTCTCCCTTCGTAATCAGGTAACAGGGCTCGCAGAGGCAGCGATGGCACCATTTTTCGTTCTCTCGTCTGGCCTCGCGACCCATTTTCATTGACCCGCCCGCCGCTCTGCTATCCATAGTGACAGAAGACCTGCTGAATAACATTGGCAGAGACATTATGGGCAAAGGGAAATTAGCTGTGACCAATGGCGCAACCACATCGACCACAACAGCACTCGCCCGGTGAGCTCGTCCGATCACTCTCTTTGCTCTTCCTCTGCTCGTACGTGACTCGCAGAGGGGTTTCTTTAGGAGCATTTGCAACCATTTTTTTTTCTGTTTTTTCTTCTGCACTATTGACTTTGTTGGCATCTCAGGCATTCGCTAGCAAAGTTCAGGCGCATCACTACCCAGAGATATCTGACCTAGCCTTCAAATATGTCCACTTCAAAATTCATAACTGACGGCACCTTTTAAGACGGTCCCTGCGCTGTCGAGAAAATCGGTGGGCGTTCCATGCAAATAGGGTCTTCTACTCAGTTTCTACGATTTTTTCGCGGCTTCACAGTATGTAACGAAGGCGCTGGGGCCTCATGAAAGGCAGCTCTTACGCCTCCTTAGCCGTCCGCGCCCAACGGAACTCAAAGGCTCTATTCTGGCACGAGTTCAACTTTCACACCGTGTTTTTCTTTTTTCACTGTTAGGTAATATTATTTAGCCAGTGTAGATGACGCGAATGAAACTACTAGTCAGCCGGAGCGCGCAGCGGGATTCGCTTTACTGGCATATAAACGAGCAGATTCGGAGAATACAATACTTACTTATGTAAGGGAATCTCCATGATTTTTGTTGCTGTTTCTTCCGTTGGAGGGTCACTTATGCGGACCTTATGGATTCATATAGAAGACACCGCAGAATACGCAGAGGCGCCGTTGTGCATCATATCATATAGGTAGGTTACGCAAGCATTTGTGAAAGCGATCGATTAATCGTGTAATTACTCAAAGAGAGACGTCTTCTACATGAAATCAAACTTTCTTTCAAGAACACCCTCAATGGAATCTCATTCCATGGCCATAAGATAAAATCGAAACCTCTTCGAACAAAATATAAATCCGGCGCTGAGATGGGGATTTCATTCTTTAGCGAGTTTCTCTTGCTAGTTCATGTCAGCTAACAGGTCTCACTTCGCTAAGCCTGTAAGCCCCTGCGAAGCTGCGAAATGTTAAAGTAAGCCTTAAAAATCATAGGAATTTATGGGACCTCACAAGGTAACCCGTACAAGTTTGGCCGAGTACTATCTGGTGACCCCTACCAAGCCGACTGGCGCTAAAAATCTCTTTACCTGTTGCAGTAATACCCGTTTGCATCGTTGCTTCACCGCCAGTGCTACATCAAGCCATGTCCAATTCCTTTCATGGAACTCACATAAAGGAAACAGAAAACTGAATCGGTCTACATCCTCTATGTTTTTATCCTTGTTACCCTGAAAATTTCAATTTTCACTGTTGATATGATAGATTCCGAAAAAATTAATGTAGAAAGAAGTACAGACCTTATAAGATACTACAAACGGAACTTCAGGGATTTTTATATATACAAAGAAATTGTTATTGTCCGCACGTTCCCTCATTTTGTCAATGTCCGTCAATTCAAACTCGAGTGGTTGCTTTCCAGTAATGCTCTGAAACAAAAATTTCACTCGTAGCTCCAAATGAATAGAAAACAGCGCCAGAACCTAACCTTTCCACCGATACTGCTTGCCTTCCGGTCAACTTGCGCAGCTTTGTTACTCCGCATGCTTAATGTACCGGCGAAACGACGAGTGAACGAGAACTTCTGAAAGTAATTTGAGATCCGATCATACAACTCCATTGTTCATAACCGTGAAGGCAATGAACCTTTCGCTTCGTAAAAGAAAATTGACTGAAACTGCGGTCCTCTATTCTAGATTGTTTTGTATAGAGGAGGGCAGCGGAAGAAGAAGTTGATTAAAGACAGTGGGCACGATTGCTGGAGGTGGGCAGGTTGCCAGCAGCATTGGTGAGAGGGCATTGGCGATACCGCCCTCCTTCAGCCCTTCCACCAGTGACGCTCGTAACAACCGCCTACCTCCAGGAATGTGATCACGACATTTAAAGGCACAGTCCACACTGGATCGTGTAGGCGGGGACAGGCCTACAGTTGTTTTCCTCAGTGGCACGACCACTCCTTTCACCTTACAAAGGAGGGCACTCATATGAGAAAAGGCACAGCGGTTAATTCGGCTACCCTCATACAAATAACTGGAGCAGTACATTCGAAGGGAACGGGCAGGATCGCTGCAGGAGAGCGGTTGTTGCCAGAGTCATTGGTGGAAGGGCTGAAGGAGGGCATTAGGCCAAACAGCCTAACGCGTTGTGAGGGTGGTAGATTGGTCGAACGCTCTTTCGCAGTTCCACCAACGACGCTGGCAACAACCGTCCACCTCCAACAAAAGTGCTCGCTACCTCTGAAGACAGCTCCTTCTAGTACAAGGCTTACTCGGATCAAACTCCATAGTCTAAGTCGCTTACCCTTGTACTTGGAAATGCGGACAAGAACACGGAAGTGCACGTGGTTTGGACTGATAGACGCTATGCGAGCAAAAGGCGGACAAATATAGCGCCATGACCTCATGCTCATTCAGTGATGTCTACCGTAGGTCAGTGTGATCTTGGATGACGGCAATGTTAGAGACGGTGTTCACGAAACGGTATTTGCTCTACAAACTATCACCCCTATCCAAAGAGTGCTGAATTATGGGCAGAAGTGAGACCGACCCTTGAAGGAACTCGAACCCGCCTTTCCCACTGACCGGGCGAGTGCGCCATCCATTACGCCACTGGGGCCGCTCTCACCCCTCATTTGAGTGGCGTGCCATAGCCCTACAGCACTCACAAGTTTGTCACGTCATCTCCTACTATGATTAAAAATGAACCTACCGGAGTACCCTCTTCAACAGCATCCAGATTATCTTCTTTGTGAATATTACGACCAGGGAAGAAAAACAGCATCATCTTTTCGAAAAATCGATATGTGAGCTGGGCTACCATCGGTGCAATATTCACTTCGAACAACTCCTTCACGCATATTCCTCCAACTAAAAAAATGGTCTCTAGTGTTTGAATTTCAAAAATTGACAAAATAGACTAAGAATGCCCAACCTGGAGCCATATCGCGGACCATCAATCTTATAGAAGGTTGTCGAGTTTGGACTCGTTCATCTCTGAAAGAAGCAGTGTCGATGCTCGGAATGAGGCATGTGTGTATTCAAATAGTAAATCAATCATAGGTATAATTACTGAAAAAATTCACCGATGGAGTGTATCTCTATAAATAGTGTCTGGAAGCAGGTTAGTTACTCGCAGTGTTCCAACCTAAAAACTACTTTGAAAGGATTAAAAAAGAAGAAAATTAAAGTATCTCTACCCTGCTCCCCTTACAGCGTAATAGGCCGTAGCATTTCAAGTCAATTTTTATAAATCTCACCTCAAACAAATGCTCTCCTGAACTATCAATGCGCACTGTTCGTGTATATCTAAAAAACAAGGTCTCAAATCGTCAAGGAAACGGACAGCTCAATTAGTAGTGGGGCAGTTCGGCGATGGAGGGGGGAGCATTTTGCTACTTCGCATCGACGTGTCGACCCATCTAGACAGGGTATGTGACAAAGGGATCGTAATTCACCGCGCTGGTGCGCGTCGCGCCCGCAAATGACGATGGTTCCAGGTAGTATTAGAATATAGTAATAGATGGCAACAACAAACAGGCAATTCAGATCCGAAAATAGTCTCGAATGCCTACGATGATGGGGTCCACATGAAGTCCGGTGGTGAAGTCATGACATGAAGTCCGGTGTCCGAATCAGGTTAATACGAGTAAAGAAAGCGTCGCCCCGTCGCCGCGCGCGGCGGAGCGGCAAATTACGACTCTCTTGCCCCTCTCCCATCTAGACAGCCTCTTCTCGAGTTGACAGGTTTTACCATGATGGCTTGACGAGCTTGCTCCAGCTTCACAAGAGTTCACAGGTTTCACCAGAGTGAGACTTGTAAACCGGAACTAGTGAAGCAACGAAAGTGCAAAATGCCCCCTCCTTCCTCCCTCCCCCGTCGCCGAACTACGCCTTAGTAATATTCCAGTTAGGAGCGTAGTGAAGAAGACTAGTTCTGAGCTAGAGAAACCATAAAAACGCCGTTTTCGAGTTTACCATATAAATACTATTAGAATCGGATAAATTGCACTCCATATTGGTGATCTTCCGAAACGATATTGCTACTCTGTAACCGATCATTTTTTAAAGACACATAGTACGCTCATACACATTGAGGGTGTATGAGACTATCAGCCCCCCAGATGTCGATGTGTCGTGGTCCCCCCGCCCAAACATGCCCGGGAATGGAGATACAGGGCCGTGAAACACGCTAATTCTTCCATGCTCCGCCCACTGCCTTTTTACGGCGCAGATTCCCGCCGTTCATAACATCCGTTGCAAGCGCGCCTGTCGGCATGCGTTTGCTTTTTCCTTGCACTTTGCCAATGTTCTTTTAGATTGGCGCTCTCAATACAAGAGAAAACGCAGTTTCCTGATGCGCGAAAAACAGGTCTGGAAGTGGCTGGCAAAGTAAAGAACAGAAGATGATGACAAGGGGCAGAACTCAAGAGCAACTCGGCTGCATCTGCAGTATCCATCAAGGGCCGCGCATTCCCACAAAACATGAAAATAAAAACAGCCCAAGCGTCCCACTCGTTTGTTCTAAGTATTTCTATGGCTTTGGCGCCGGATCGTAGAAATTTACAGGCCAGTTTATCTAATTTGCCCTTCCTTGATTTTTTCATTTTTGTTTTGTTTACATTTACATCGTTGTGCTTCATTTCTAGCCTGTGTCATCTTCATCTCCTTGTACATGGATTTTGAAGCATGAGCAACACCTAAAATTTTATTCGCATCAGGAAATTGCGTCTTGCTTGTATTAAACTAACGAGTATGCCGTTTTTATTTTCATGTTTCGTGGAAATACGTGGCCTCCGAGGGATGTTGCAGAAGTGGCACAGTTGCTTTTAGGTTCTGACCCTCGTCATCATCTTCTGCTCTTATTTTGTAGCACCTCCAATGTTATCCGCATCAGGAAATTGCGTTTTCCTTGTATTTGAGAGCGCAATTAAAGGACTTGGCAAAGTGCCAAGGAGCCGCACGCGACAGGCGCGCTTGCAACGGATGTTATGAACGGCGGGAATCTGCGCCGTAAAAAGGCAGTGGGCGGAGCATGGAAGAATTAGCGTGTTTCACGGCCCTGTATCTCCATTCCTGGGCATGTTTGGGCGGGGGGACCACGACACATCGACATCTGGGGGGCTGATAGTCTCATACACCCTCAATGTGTATGAGCGTACCATGTGTCTTTAAGGCCATGAATGCAGTGCAACGAAAACAGAGGTGGAGATTGGCCTTAGATCTACCTGGCTCACCCGAACATCTCTTTGCTGCGAGGGTTTAGCTGATAGTTTCCTGCAGGGGGAACGGCACCCTGACATTCTCAGCAATGATTAGGAACTACTTAACCGTTGCAGGACTTAAGGCCAAGATGCCCGCCAATTTTTTTCTTCGTGCTGCTCATTCAATAAATGCAATAAAGGATCGCCTATTTGAAGGAAGATCGTGTACAGATCAATAAGGAACACAGCAAGAAATTCTGATCTGTATTTGGAGCCTATTTGCAAGTGTTGTCCATCACATTCCGTCAGTTTCGCAGACTAGCAGTCCTCAAAACAGAACCTAAAAACACGGCAGGCTTTGAAAGTGCGTTAGATGAGCACAGTAATAGACAGAACTAGCCCATTGTCCAAAGTCACTGTTTTCAACGAGCAACATTCGGATTAACTACGCAAAAAAATCTTTGCATGCCTTCGGGACCTAGCTCACGGAAGGTATTAGGTTGTCCCAAAAGTTCTGGGACACTTTCAGACTTTTTTCCGAATTAAGTTTATTCCAGTGGGAAGCAATTTTGATCAGCTATATGTATGTCACCTTCATTGGCAACTTGTTGCCAATCACTACGCAATGTGTGGTTGCCCTGCTTCCAGAAGCCTCTTAGTTCTGTGGCCAGAAAGGCAGCTGGGTCATTTTCGAGGTACTATCAAAAATCGTATTTTTTTACCAAGAAGATGGCCGCTGTGGGATTAGTTTGGATGGTTGTCGGAAAGAGCTAAGTCAGGGCTACACGAAGACTGTGGTGGAATTCCCCAGCTAAGCTTCGGGATCTCGAGCAGTGTCGTTTTCCAAATGTTTGACCCTGAGGTGTGGTGGAGTAGGCAAACATTGCTCGGTTTTGGGACCAAATGGTAGAGATTTTCCACCCCACTTTGCAGTTGATTACAATAGGGCACCCTGGTTACCATAGCGTTGGAAGGAGGGAATTCCGTTTCGAGAGCGGAGAAAGGTACCCCACCACATACACAGCCTCACCGCCCTACTGGATTGATAGGATTGCGCGATCGGTTCTGCCCTTTCTGGGGGATCTAGCCGCTGGCGCTCCCAGGAGTGATTCATCTAGAGGCACCCACTCCATATCCAGTTACAGTGCTGTTCAACCAGCCCGTACAGCGGAAGCGGGAGAGAAGTTGTAGACAGTACCCACATGTGCTCCCCTTGGAGTACTGGTCAACTCATGAGAAAAATTTTGACCGAACTTCAGAACTTTTCTAAGGGAGCGAGGCCTTCTCTCATTTGTGCTTTGGGACCAGTCAAGTGTAAGGAATAGATAGCAAGTTGATTTGTACGTATTGGTTTTAATCAAGGAACACAGTAGGTCCAAATCCAAGGCAGGTGGCCTCCTTGGACGAAGTTTTTCACCCGGATAGAAGTCACTAAAGCAGAAGCAATTGAGCCATTCCAAAGCCGTACTGTGGAAGCTAACATCAAGATCTAAATAAGGGAAATGCCGCTTATGGCTCGAACCACGTTGTGGCTTGGTAGAGATCCATATAGCGAAGTGTGTCGAAAATGATGAATTTCAATTACCGTTTTTCATATGAGAACAGCGACTGCGAGGGACGGTGAAGAAGCTGTGGAATGCTTACCTCACACACTTCCCATAGACCACATAACTGGATCTCGAAATGGCTGCGGAAAAATCTGATACGAGATTCAAAAAGTGTCCCAGAACTTTTGGGACAACCTAATAAAACCACAACCAACCCCCACCTTTGCTCAATCTGCGACTCTCGAAGTGGGCCCACTACACAACGAAATTATTGGTGAAAGTCAAATGTCCAAATTAAGAATGTAAGGACAACACTCCCAGCGTTGATCATCCCCTTTTGAGATATGCCACGCTTTTTGCTTCCAATCAGAACAATAGTGATTCTTGAATGTGACTTGACTTATACGAGTTACGTGGATCAGCCGTTGTACGAGACCTCCCCCTGCCCCTACTTTCTTCCTCTCACACTAGAAAAATATTACTTGGGCGAATCCAAAGAAATGAGGTGATTTTCGGATTGGATGGGACCTTAGCTGAGATTTCGGGGCTTGGTGAGTAGCGCCATTTAACAATGCAGCTCCACACGGTTCCTCAGTCTGACCATAAATAATCATAGTTTTCAAAAACTATTCCAAATAAAATTCCGGCGGGCAGTTTGTCGACGGGGGGGGGGGGGGGGGCATTCTGCTTTCCATAGATGTGCCGACCCATCTAGGTAGCCTTTTCTCGAGTTGACACGTTTTAGGATGGTGGCTAGACGATCTTGCACCAGCTTCACAAGGGTTCACAAGTTTTACCAGGGTGAGATTTGTAAACCGGAACTAGGGAAGCAATGGTAGTACAAAATGCCCCCCGTCGACAAACAGCGCCTAAAATTCCTTCTGCTAATTCCAAACGAAAACTCTGACGTAAGCGCAGGCAGTACAATCGAAATTCTCCGAAAAAAAAACGTGGAGCATACCTCAAACCGTCGAGCTACAGCTGCTAGCATATCTTCCTCTTCCAGTTTGCTACAGACGGTTGCACGTGCGGCTTCCACTTGATGCTGTTTGTAACAACTAAGAAGAATGAATAACAATTTCCCCTAGTTTTCATCATCTCCAACGATTGTCAGCTCGACAAACCTAATATAAATCGCTAATTTATCGGAGACTTCCAGCTGCCTTGCTTTGTTTTCTTCCATCTCATCAACAATATCTTTGCGTTTTTGTTCGTCGATACTCCCATCCGACTGAGTGTCCAGATAGAAAAGCTGCCGTTCCAGAGACCGCACAACAGAAACGATTTCACGAAGTTCAGACTGCAACAATGCACAATGGCAGACTATCTCCACAGAGAAGGTCCCGAAAAACTTTGAAAAGAGCTACATTTCGAACCATCATTTCTACTAACCTGCTGTTCCACAATTTTCTCTCTCATTTCCTTCATGTTCATCATTTGACAGGCAAATCGCAGTTTTCCTCCTACGCTCAGCCAGCTCTTTCTTTTTTGGATCAATGAACAGTACAAGATTGTTCACAATGTCAACCATCATTTCATACTGAAGTTAAATCACTTCGAGATTTCGATAATAAAACGAACAGCGACGATGACAAAGAAGCTGGCATATAAAGAAAGAAGAGCCCACTGACCTGTTCCGAATTGCTACTTGCTTCTAACATATTGTGTTTGAGGGTGAAACAATCCAGCGCCAGTCCTTGTCACCAGCGCTAAGTAGCATTTGCCTGTTCGAACCTGAAAATACACAGGCCTCAGGACTAGAAATGTATTTAATACCAATAAAAGGAATAATATTGCTTAGTTTAGAGGCCGCAGAAGAACAAAGAAGAAGCGTGGTTTGGTCTCACTATCGACTCCCCCAACTACCTGTGACTCGAATTTTTCAGTTCAAATTGTAGGGAAAGCTCAAAATAAGGCATAAGATAACACACACCTTAGGAACTCCAGTCTCCTCGAGCGCATCCGTCTTAAGCTCTTCAGAAAAGTAACAGAAGTATATCTCACAGCTGCATCTCGAAACGATTCGTTGCAATTGAACTTTTTCTGACATCTCTTCTGCCTCCACTACTCCTCCTACGGCTTCTCCCGCACCAATATATGGGTGCAGATATGGAGTCACCATCACTCGTCCTCCAGCTGAGTTTTCTCTTCGATCAACCTGGAAGGAAATTCATCAGCTGTATGCTGAATTCAACAACATGAGCTATAAATTTTGTTCTGGATTGCCACCAGAACCTGCCGGTGCACCCTTTTATGACTGCCTGATTGATATGTATAACCCATAGGGAACATTGAGACATGTGATTATGACCCATAGGTAAATAGTTAGATACTCGATGCGTGACCTCTCCTGTATTGAGAGGCACGCCTAGATTAAGTCAGCATTCTACCCTAACCACCACCGAGACCACCCCGTCCTTCGAGTCTACTAAGAAGACTCACAACCGTCTCTACTACATTGTATTTGACGTTCGCAACTTACAAGAGACCTACCACGTCCGTCATATAAAGCTAACATAAACCTACACAAATTTAACTGAAACTAGATGTCGACATTTGAGCGTACACTTTACAAAACTGCATCACGTGAGCTGCAAAACTGTCCAATGAAATTGCGTCGAGATCCCTTCAATTTAAAAATAGAACTTAAAAGACACTTTTTCGCGAAATTAGCCGAAATGGCGACAATGCATAACACAGACGCATTGTACGCAATAGTTTGCACGGCGTACTCCTCGCTCTTTGCTCCGGGATGGAAGGAGTGGCGAAGCAGTGGGTAAGGCACAACCCTTGTGGGTCTCTGCCCATCCGTAATCGTGAAAATTATCCTCGAGTGATATATCGCGTGGCCCCGCTTTTCAAGGCAACTAGCGTGAACCGGGAACCTGTTCCCCCAAATGTTATCGAAAAAAGCGATTTTTAAAAGAGAGAAACGTGCGTAATTCGAGAACATATACAAATGCACATTAACCTCTCTGGTTAACCATCTGAACGACTCCACAGTGCGCCCGTTGACAATGGATATAGGAGCGAAATACTGCATACCAGATATTATTGAAGACCATGACTTCTTCCAACAGACTGCCCCGTTTCGTCCATCACACATCGATGCCACCTAAAGTGTAGTGAACATTCAACTTGAAAATTTTATTAGTATTTAAAATATTGTTAGTAAAGTTTTCAAGTCCCCCACCTTCTGTGTCACACTGGCCCGAGCTGCTGTCAGCAAGACAAATCCGGCTCGCTCACAACCTTTCAGTACAACTTGACTATTCAGTAAGTCGACTAAAAAGGCAAATCACTACATCATCATAAAGAACATACAAAAAACTTCCAGTCCGAACCAGTGACTCACTCTGCCAATTAATGCTCCTAACATCGTCCATTGTACATTGCAAGGCTCCGAGTAACGAATCTGTTGGAAGATCCCCGCCTAAAAGCGGGTGAATCCACCCTTAAGAGCAGGGATATTTTCCATGTTCGCCACATTGAATACTCATTTCTTTGACGCGATAGGAGCGTTGAAAGTACAAATGAACGTCTCCGGTCGATTGTTTCGTCGGCCTTTTCACTCGCGCGTGGCACGGATGGGCTGGGAGAGATGCCCTGTTCCTCTTGCGCATATCACTACTCCGCAACTATTGCTGACCTACTGTTCGAAGTTACTTATGCGCGTTTCACTGGGCTTCTTTCGGCATACCTACCATTTCCAGGACGCACATCTCTCGCGCAGTTGTTTTCCCAGCAGATACCTGTAATACTTTTCTGTGGCCCCGGCGGTTAGACATATGGTACATCATGTTCCCGATACCAAACCTCAGAGGCACTCCGCTGTCCTTGCATCCTGTCTGGTCTGTCTCCAGGTTATACGCCATACTGGGCCGTTGCGAGCACGGTGTGTTTGGGGTTATTACTTATGCTCGCGACATCAAATGCTGCCAGGTGACCGATCTATACCCACGGCGGGTCAACACAACGGTGAATGTCCTTGGAACTTCCGAGAATGCAGACAGACAATCGTGACATTCGTCGCCCGGGTCACTGCACGGGCCGTGCAAACGACTGGCGCCAGAATCCCCGATGTTGTATCTAGTTTTCGAAAATGTCAGGCCGCAGACTCTGTATACCTTAATTTCAAGACAAAAGCGTCTTATATGAGGTGCCAGTATCGACCACTTTTGCGCCGTCTCGACGCCGTTGCTGCTAGGTGGCCTCGTGGGGCTGTCGCGTGTCGAGCCGTCGCGTCCCGTCTGTAAGCGAACTACGATTCTCAATGTCGCACAACGCGACACAGTCGTGGTCAACTGGTGCAGCAGAAAGACTACACGGTTATGACCAAATAGAAACCTCCGCCGCGTGTCTACCATGGTCCTTGTCTTGAAATGTACCCGATGCTTCGAACGAAAGTGTACAGCGAAATCGAGGAAACGTACGCGCTCCATGGTCGCCAGGCGTCCGGCGGCTGGCTGACGAGCCCAAAGCAGGCAAATCTTACGCTTCCTATCTCTATGTCCGCCCTCACCATGTGCCGACCAAGCGCGGTCAGAGTGTAACTTATGTGTCCTTTGTAGCAACCGCTCAATGTAAGAATAGATGATAGAAATAACTTTGTTCCCCGTACTAGCTGAATTCGAAGTGACAAGTCTCTGCTCGAGGAATCTCTTCTTCCAGATTTTGCTCTCAGTTAACCCGCATAGTTTGCCACACGCTTGCATCCTTCAGCCTCAGGCCTAATCTCTTTACAATAGTAACTGAGAGCGAGCCTGAATGATGCCACGAGCAGTAATTGCCCCACCTAGGGCCGGACTTCGCGCCGAGTTCACGCACGGGATATCGCATATTCAAACCTCGCTTCATTCTCGCAGCGCACACTTAGGACATTATTCTATTCTCAGCTACTTGGATACGTTCGTTTCCTTTCGCGAAAAGGAAACGCAATAATCGTTCTGGAATCCAAGATGCGACGACCGCTCCAGTTCTTTTACCAGCAGATCACTTTAACCTTCTGGAATTCAATACGGAGACGCCCGACATGTGTTGTTAGTGGTCGGATCTCTATTATTTATAATCCTCTATACACCAAGATCCCGAAGACTGCCATTCAGTAAGCACTGACCTTTCATTGAAAGAACATAGAGGCTGGGTTTCGAGGCCTGATTCCATCTTCTTGATGGAATAATAGTGTCTATCATGCCATCTCTCAACCGAGGTTCAAATCGAAGCGGATTTATGCTATTTGGTATATAACATGGGACGTGTTTGCAGGAGGTGCAGCGCCGAGGCAGCAGCAGTCTCGATCCAAACTAAACGATTCGCCTATGGAACGGCGGGCTGGTTTCAGAAGGCGCGCGCGGAGCTTAACGGTAGGCAATGGTCACCAAAGCACTCTCGCCATGAAGCTTTGCTTTTAGGCCTTCAGAATGAGGAAGGCCTAATTCAGACCTACTTTTTTTCACCACAATCGGATCGTTGTGCGAGGATTCCCTGCAAAAGTCCAGTATTGGGAAAACTACAGCGAACTCACTTTGTTCACAGTCCGCCTAAACATCGTTTGTGCGTTGCTTCTCCAATTAAGTGATCGAGCAGTGACTGGTTATGATCGGACTATTTACTGTAACCAACGGCGATGACCCAACGGTTCACCTTATGTCGAATCAATCAGGTGTCGCTGGAACATTCGCGAAGGAGACGACTGTGAGCCTGCGCTCTTCATCGTGCTATAGCGCTGCAAATACTCATGTGATAAACATTCAAGGTACAGTCATAGCAGAGAGAAAATGTTCTTCCTGGTGCTGAAATCAGGTTCACACTTTTGACAAGAACGATCTTCAAAAGCATGCGTTGCTGAAGACTTCGTGCGAGGTCATATGGGCACGCTAGTGTACTCCGTCGCTATTGATATGCAAGCATCGTCGCGATTTTCGCGCGCTGTCCCAATACGTGAGGCTTAGACACTCTGGACCTCTCACACTCGTCGCCTCCTTCACCATATTAAGCAGGGGAAGAGAGAATAACTGAAGTCGTTATCGAAAATAATGTGACAAAACTCGTTGCACAGATCGCTTGTCAGGGTCGATGTGGTGTCAATCTATGCTGGGGTGCATCGCGTCCACGGTTATTCTCTCGAACGTAGGATACTCGAGTCAAGCCCAACAAAAACGTTTCTTCGTCGCTAGACGATAGGCCGTCACAAAAAAACAGAAGGGGTATGACCGTTGCTGTAGACGTGCACCTGAACAATTCTGATCAAATAGAAGCTGTGTTCGGCTTGGAGGGGGCATTTAGCTGGTCCCTATTAATCAATGAAATTGCTTCCAGTGGAGACCTGTGACTTCCTGTGAAGCAACGCACGGGCTTCGCTACACTCGACAGATTTTACGCAAGGTAGACGTGTAGTTCAACAGAACTAACATAAGAAAACCGAAAAAGCAAAACACCCCCCCTCTCCCCGTCTAAACCGAAAAGCATTTGAAATCTGTTTCAATGCAGAATCATGAGGTTCGTGGTTAGGCTGTGCGAATGTGGAGAATCCGCGATTCCGGAGAATCCGGCAACACTTATGGATAGGCCGCATCGATCTTGGCGGAATCTCCGGCCGCCTGAAAAATCGCAAAAAAATGGTTGTGACAAAGCCTCCATTAGCGAAGAGACAGGCCTCCCGCGTCAGCGGTGTAGTCGTTAGGCTGTACTTCTCCGTATCTGTTAGCACGTTGACGACATCGCTGCATTGTGGAGAGCGCATTTGTCCCCTCGTGGACGCCACTTTTTTTGCCGCTATCAGATCAAATTTCGGCAAAATTGATTAGTTCAACGATCGTCGGCGTAGGACTGCTAATTGGTAACATCCATCTCCTTGACGCTTTATTGGAATTGCCATCTTCACGCGCTCCAGCCGTCTGGCAATCACGGCATCATTTTTTTATGCGTCTAGCGGTGCCAGTGAGTTCCAAAATTGTGTGTATATACACTGATGGTTACTTTTCTATTTCGTCGTCTGGACGAGACAGCGGGACACGCAGGAGATACCCACAAGACGGTCTTGGCCCCACCGCATTTTCTGAACACCGCAAGTCAACAGTATCCGAAGGCTATAACTCGAGTGAAGTGGTCCTTGCGCGTAAAAATTCACGCGTCCGGCCATAGCTCATATAGACAATCGTTGGTTACGTCGCGACGATCGGCCCATCCGTCAGGCATGAAGCGCGCTGTTGTTCGCAACATGTTCAAAACGGCAATCGGAATGTGCACGGACGATGCAGAGCGAGAAGAATCACGACAGTTAGCTACAAAAATAGCCACTATGAATGGTTATTAGCGGCACACCGGCCTCCTCGAAGAGATCAGTACATCAATGTCGTGGTCCCCGAAGAGGGACCTGGTGTTGCGTCAAAAATAAACTACCTCTTATGTATCCGCTTTATTTCTGAATTAGTAAGTGCTGGCAATTGCACGGAAGTATTGTAAAAGAGCACAGTTGCCAGGACGAGTGGCAGTTTGTGAATGTACCTAAGCGAATAAATCATAAAACAGCAACTTGTTCGCACAGACTCTGACGACAAAGCGACTGCTTATCAGAAAACTAGTCGTTAGCTGTTGCCCCTAACGGGAAACCTGGCGATTGTATGGCAATCGGAGTGAATATAATGAATAATCCAATGCCAGGCTTGTAACTTTTACATATATCCGGGCGGAAACGGAAGGGCTAGCAATTCGCCTCAAGGAACATCTTGCAGGTATGAGACGCGGTACCCTCACAACAGCCCTCGGAAGGCATAAAGTTGAGCAGCATAATGGTGTAGAGTTCGAAATAAAGTGCATATTGCTGGCACATGAGACGGAAATTTCCGCAAGAAAAGCATTAGAAGCGTTCTGGATTTTCACCAAGGCGAACTGGCCCTTTTCGACTTCCAGATGAAACCCAGAATCGAACAGCCGAGATGAGATGTCCTTGCAATAACAAAAGTGACCTTTCTGCCGTCATAGCAACCACCTGCGAAAGCTGTAGAATGAACAGAGCGTACGTGCGTCCTCCCATCAAAAAAAAAAACACAACAATATTCTACTAATACCGGGATGACAGTAGCGCGATATTCTTCAATTTATAACTAACGTGTTCAGCTTCTTGTGTGGGTCGCGGACACTGTTCCCTAATAAGGGTGGAACCGCGTCCGTGGTTGGCTTTTCCGCAATTACTGGGGTTTTCGAAGGGTGCCTGACCTCGATGTCGGGAACCCGGAACTAGAGCTTGACTGGAGCGCTTTGTGGAGGGTAGACGCGGCAATACCTAATCTTGAAACACATTCAGAGCCTCTTGAACTCGACGTTCAGCGAAAACGTTGGTAGGTCCTATTGGAAATAAATAGTTCCACCCTATCACATCGTCTTCGTAAGGTCGCTAAAACAAGTGTTTAAAGCAACTTACCGTTCTATCAGACCACTTTGTTCCCTATTGGAATATTCCCTCCCTTTTCGCTTGCTTCTCCACAACATTAACACGCTTGCACATGATTGGCCCACTAGACGGCCACAGACGCAACACGTTTATATCGAATTCGTGTCAAAAAGATACGCTGGCGCCAAAACCGGCTGGCGCCCGCTGGGCAGCAGCTGGCGCTTAGGCCTAGACGTGCCGTCACTGGACCTTAGGCTACGTGTCATTCGTGACAAGGATGTCAAATAACCTACCCATGGAGGTTACTATCGCATTCGGTGTCAAAAAGACTGCCAATGCCGAAATGGCGCCTACTGGCGCCATAGCGCCAAACGCACGCTAATAAATTGGCGCTATATATGGCGGCAACGACAAGTAAGATCTCACGTTCATGATCAAAGCCCCGCGCAGTCCCTGCAGCCAAGGTTCCGTCCAAAAAGAACTATTTTGGAGGTTTCTGCCGCAGCAGTAGCTAGTTGAAAATTTTCAATTTTTAATTCAAAATATCCCATGGAGGCAGCAACATTTTTCTTGCTCATCCCTGTTGGACATTCACCTTTCACAGGTTATTCGAAAGCAAGAAAAAGATCGATTGAGACTGCCGGCAATAACCCGAAAAGTGATGGAGAAAGTTATGAGCCACGGTGGCTCAGAAATGTACGCCAATGTGGTAAGCATGCATCCTTTTATGGCCGGTTCTGCGGATTCTCCACATAATATAGTATGAGCGAGGGTTCAGAATAGTCGTAACGAGACAACAAAAAAAAAATTAAAGGAAAATGAAAGAAACCTGAGTTCCCCAAAGAGTTGCTGATACATGCTGAGGTATCCATACGTAACTGCGACGGCGTGTGATACCCTTAAAGGCTTGACTAGATGACTCCTTGAAAACCATTACGGTCTGGTTCGCAGCGGATGCTGGAGCTTGTCACGGGGCTGGGTTTGGCGCGGCTCCAGCTGTTTTCCACGAATTCCTGTCGCCTGTTCGCTTCAACATTGGCACCGCGCCAATCCCCCTTCCCCCTCGCCCCTCCCCTACCTATCACCCCCCTAAACCACCGCCGTCAGCATACGCAGCGAAGACTGTACAAGGATTATTAACAAAACTAGGTACCGATTCGGCCTCAGCCTGTACGGTCAGCTTCATCGAGGCGAGCAAGTTTAAACCATCCGATATTACTCGGAACCCGTAATCAGATGAATGCGACATCCAGTATGTGATATAGAATCGCGGGAAATTAAGCGATACTTGCACGTTCCTGCAAGACAAGAATTCACGCGATTAATCCGAAGTAGCTCAGAGTTTTTTTTTTACCTGAAATGTTTCCCAAGTTGCGGTTTTGGGTAAGGCGGTGTTCCGAATAGCCGACCTTTTCGTACATTCCGATTTTTCATGGTTAACGTATTCTGGAAAGGAAAGAAAGATCCAAAGCAGGACAACATCTCTATTTAGATTGTATCCAGAGCGGACGGGTCTCAAAGCGCAACAGCGCTGAAACAACTCGATGGGACGAAGACGCCCCCAGCCATTGTGCGTTCTTTGTTAGAACGTCCTCCTTCTACTACGGTGATGACCAGCGCCACTCAACTTCGTGTGATTCTGATGGAGTTTTTTCTCAAATCAACGTTTTCTCAAACACTTTTTCTCCAAAAAGTGCCAATCGAATGGTAGTTTTTTCTACAAAACTCCAACTACTTTTTCTACCAAAAAAGTGCTATCGATTTTGGTCGCGCCTTCTACTCGGGGAAGTATATCATGTGTGATGTGAAACGGGAGAACAGCGAAAGTCGACAGCCGGGAATTTTTTCCCGCGCCCTGATTGAAAGAGGTCATTGTGACGACCTTTACTCGCATTCCAAACTGGAGGTACATTCCGCTATAATCGGATATAAGGGAACGCACTACCGTTGTGCCATCCTTATTAGCGCGCCCCTCCTCCTTGCGCATTAGAAAAAGCGAAGCACCAACGGTACCAGTGGTTGTGAGTCTCCGCCCATCTGCGTATCGTGGAATGTGCCGGTGATCACAGTTCTCTTTACAAAGCTATCCCGTGAATAAACGAACAAATTAAGAACGACACTTACGAGAAGAAACTCGATACAACGAAATGTGTTTGCATAGAGAAGAACGTGCGGGATGCGATCACCAGTTTCACCGTTTTCAGCACCGGCAGCGACGTCGTAAGATAGTGATAGATCCAGTGATGAGGACCGAAAGGCTCGGAAAGAGTCATGATCCTGCGAAAAATTCAATCAACAGGATCTACCGATGTGATAAACTTCCAATTAACAGTTATTAGAGGAAAATCAATGAGCTGCGCTCCCCATAGTAAAATCTTATACTTTCCAATGCCGAAGATTTGAACGCACCAGGAAGGAATGTGGTAGACGGTGGGGAGCACAAAGAGTCACCGCATGGTGATCATGAGGATCACCGCTACAAATCCAATCTGAAAGTAGACATCAAGTAGCTTGAACGGTAAGCAGCTGGCAAAACATTTGCAAATAAATCTAATAATATGAATCTGATGGAAGCGAGCTCAGACACCTACCTAAGACCACACGAAGCCGGAGATCAGGGAAGAAAAAGAATGCGAGAGTCATCGTATCGAGATGCCGTGCGCATGAATACCCGTAAACCTGACCTAATGCGAATTTCGCCTGAAAATACAGTCTTGAAATGTATACTTCCACTTTGACAGTTCCGTCAATAACTCCAGCATGTGAAAAAGTGTCTAGTAGCTAGCCAGGACAAACCATCGGGATACAAGAATTTTTCCCTTTTTCAAATACCATGACTATGAGGTTCCCATTACCAGCGCATTACTAGCGCTAGTGACGATCAGAAATGGTGAGCAGTCTGATCATTGAAAGTAACGTCAACTGAGGCGCGAACTTACCTAGTGCCCAGTCAAGTCCGAAATCATCCCAGCACATCTCCACAGTTTCTGTTGTATTGTATGGATCAGGTGATGCCAACATAGTTGTCACGACCTGCGAATAAATATATTTTCCAACTGAATGAAACTATTCGAAAACCGAAATTGAAATTGACTACGTGACACCACACCTTTGAGCTTAGCCAGGAGAAACGTCCGTGTAGAAGAAAGCGCATTTTATCCCAGAAAGGTAGTGGAACTGATGGATCCTTCGATGGAGCACTGATATTGTTCCACATTAGGCTAATCATCGACAGGCAAGGTTCCCAGCACGGCCCATACGTGGCTGACAAATCCGCGCTCTCTGGAAACGATTTGTTACACTTGTTCGCATATACCTCAAGAAAATCGGCCGCAAAGGCCCACGAAACAAAAAAAAACACCAGAAACGTCCAAATAGGACAAATATGTGTTCAGTGCAACTGACCGCACTGCATATCATAGTAGAACTTCAATGGGGCCATATTACGTCGCACTGTGTGTGTCTCCCATGGAGCCGGCAAATTAATTTCACATTCACGGAAGGAACGTCCACTTTCTGCAATAAAACAATACTCCCAACTAAAATGCTATATTTCACTGAAAAAGTAGTTTGACAGGCTGAACAAACCCTCCATTTCTTCAGCGCCCACAAGAAGACCAAAGAAATGCATATCCTTTGCAAGTAGATAAGGAATGGGATAATCCTTGAAATTCACACACCACTCTCCCATATCAAGCTCAACCGCTCGACCCCACAGGGTAGAAAATTGCAGCCCTCCAGCTGGATAAGAGCTGAACGTTCAAGTTAACAAACACGTCTTCAATAAGCCATTTTGGGTAGCACTTCAAAAATATCTTTGGATTACCTCAAAGGATCGAACTCGCGAATGAAATCTACGCATTTCTCGGTGCCATGGAAAGTCTCATCAGCGAATGCTCTCAAATCCCAATCTGTCCATTTTGAAACGTACAGAGGCCTGGAGCATGACGTGGAATCAAACCAGATTCTCATCTTGTAGAGCAGTGATATACGCAAATAAGAAATCTCTCAAAATAAAAAAAACCTTTTCGCACTCCCTGCTTTATTCCACCGCTCTATATAGATGGCGCTGTTCTTCTCCAGCAGCATCGCAAAGAGTTCATCAACTCTGGTCTCTTGAATATAAGACCAAATTATTGGGAATGTTCAAGAGAAGGTGATCATCTTTCCCCACAGACTTACGTGGAATAAGAGGATTTGCTTTACGCAGGGTAAGGAGCCGATCCTTGAGCATTTGCCGCCTCCGTTCGCATTCGTAGACCTAAAACAAATTCTTCTCACCAGGAAAGGTCAACAGGTCAGCCTGGCCATTTGCAATGAGATGCACATCACTGTACTCATCTTGACACGGTGAACTCAGAACTGTCTTCAAAATTTGCAGAACGATTCTCTGAGCGGAGTTATGGAGGTTTCTTTACTGTTTTTCTTCTTACGGGCGCGCTGGCGCCGAAGCGTTGGCACATGTAGCGCGACTCACAGCGCTCTTCGCGCAAAACAGGTATCATATTCGTGTTCAGGGGGTCAAATAACCCCTAGGGACGTCACCTTAGCAAAATCTGAGCTTCTGACTCAACTTCGAAAAAATGGGGTATGGATAGTCATGGCTGACTGATAGCTAACAGCGATACTATGACTAGCATACTGGTGATGACTGGTCTTCGAACTGAAATAACTCTTCAGTCATGTCTTTTCGCAAGTACTGGCTTACTTATTTGTGCCGTCTGCATCATTTTCTTGACTATCGGGAGGAAATCCCATTCCGAGACCAGTCATCGATGGTAGGTGAGCTCCAATCTGCTGCTAATTACCCACGAAATAGCCCACATTTCCCAAGTTAGG